CACATTAACAGGACTCAAGATGGCAAATACAAATGTGAAGCCAGTAATGAGTGTGGCAATGCAACAAAAATGGCAACTATTAATGTGCAGTGTAAGTACATGTAAAAGTTATCCTTTGTTACATGTTGTTTCTTGTATTTCTTTGTCAAAGTATATCAATTTGCTTCTCTGTAACATTTTTACTGGAGAGGCTTGTTTATTCGTAGCTTTGGCATCAGCCAGGTAAAGAGGGAGACTCCTTAGCTACTTTGTAATATGTAACTTACAAAGGCCAATGAAAATGTATTTATAAATTGTTTCTTTGGTCTTTAGACAAACCTGAGAATGTCCAGTTAATGAGTTCTGCCATGAACAACAAAGCATGTAAGGGAAAAGTCATCAGCTTTAATTGCTCAGCTAATGCTAATCCAGGAGTGACGTCATACCAGCTGTTTGAGAACGAAACTGCTATTTTAAACACAAGTGCCTCGGGGATGTGGAACAAGACTTTGGAGAGTGAAGGAGTGTTTGTCTACAAATGTGTGGCTAACAACTCTCTGGGATCAGAATTTAGCATGAGTGTTACTGTCACTGTAAATGGTAAGCAAACTAAACCAAACTAGTGTTTGTTAAACCGTTCCTTAAGCTATACACACATACAGGCATGTTCATGAGTGTACATACTCTTACTTGTAGAAGAACATTGAGACATAAGGAGGATTATCCATGAATGATGAGACTACACGTAAACAGTTTTATGGGAAATGTTTGCACAGTTGCATCCCATTATAATATTCATAGTAAATTGCTGCTTTTTCTCACAGGAAAGCATTATTGGCTTCTATCATTTAGCACTTGTAACTTATTGTGGTTATTAGTGACATGTGCATGCATAATGCTGTTGGGTCTCATCATTCATTGCTAACATTTTTTAGGTGTCTGCCATTTAGCCATCTAGTGTGTATGTGCATGATCTCAATTATCTTGATGTTTGTTTGTGGCAACTAAGTTGAAGGGAATTACATGTACATTGTATGTTGGGAATGAAATGATGCAGTTGTGAAAGTGTACAAGCTGGTCACTGGCTACTTTTAAAATCCTTCCACATTTTCACTTTTCTTTTACAGTACCTTCCTCAATC